ACTTTTCCCTAACAAAACCCTGATGATGATCCATAATTAATTTAGTTTCCAAGTAACAGTCAGTCTGGCCAGCCTATAATTATTTGGTGCATCCTTGCACCTTTTGAATAATTGTACAATGTTTGCAGACCTACAAATCTCTGCTTCCTCGTCTGTTCATAGTGAGGATTGAAAGATGATCCTGAGCATTGGCTATTCCTCCCTGGCTTCCTGGCCTTGGATTCAATTCAGAGGGTCCTGGCGATTTATTCACCTTCAAGGAGGTGAATCCGTCCAGTACTTATCTCCTTTATTATCTTTATTTCATAAAATGTTTCACTCATCTTAAACTAGAAAGTCAGCAGCATCCCTCTTCTTTTTAAGGGATAGACAAAATACTGTCAAGAATCTTGCCCACATCTTCTGTATCAATGCACAAATTACCATGTGCACCTGAAAGGCTCAAACCTTTCCTTAGTTATCGGCTTGTTCTTAATGTAATGGAAACACCAATGGATATGGAGATAGTGTGGGAAAGTGGCATTGAATAGCTGATCAGTGGTGATCTAATTGAATGATGGAGCAAACCTAGTGGGCTGAATAGCCTACTTCTCTTCCTATTTTCCTACAACTTTTAATACTTCAATCAGAGTGAGAATTTATTTTTGTTTTCATTTTTGGGATTTGAACATCGCTGATAAAGCCAGCATTTATTGTCTTTCCCAAAGTGCATTTAGGAAGACAGTGGTTAGCTAATGTGTTGAATCACTGCAGGTCATTGCATTATGTGTAGTCACTGTGTCGTTGGTAGGTGAGTTTCAGGATTTCAAATGACAAAATATTTTCAAGTCAAGGATGGTGCATGGTTGGGAAAGCACTTTAAGTGGTGCTATTTCCTTAACTTGCTTTCTTGTTTTCTATGCGGTAGAGACTATGGATTTGGAAGGATTTTAAAAATTCATTCACGGGATGACGGCGTTGCTGGCTATGCCAGCATTTATTGTCCATCGTGAATTGCCCAGAGGTCAGTTAAGAGTCAACCAAATTGCTTTGGGTCTGGAGTTATAAGTAAGCCAGACCAGGTAAGGATGGCAGTTTCCTTCTCTAAAAGACCTTAGTGAACCACATGAGTTTTTCTAATAATTGACAATGGATTCAAAGCCATCATTAGACATTACATTCCTGACTTGTGCCTTGTAATGGAGCAGAAAAGTTGACGTTTCAGGTCAGGCGCCTTCATCAGGATGCAGAAATATCAATAACATAAAGGATTGTCTCAAACAGTTATTTAAAAAACAAGGAAAAACAACAAACAAAAGAAAATGATGGAAATCATTAAAAATGCCTAAATTTGAATATGTGAAGAAAATAGGGTGATTTCAAATAAATATATGGACAGATTAAATGGTAAATAATAGATAAAATTTAAACAGTATAACAATACATGCAAATGCTTGTCATTCAACCAGATGAGAGGTGTAACTTGCTGCATTTAATCAGCAACATGAATGTGAGTTGTTACATTTGATTATGGTTCACAATTCAACTTTACACCGGGCCTTTTACCACGTCTGTTTAATAAACCCTGGCTAAGAAACTGCTGTTTGTTGAGATACGAACAGAGGATTTACTTTCTGATACAACAACCACAAGCTCTTCACCATCCAGCAGAAACCTAGCCAGCCTCTAATTGTTTTCTCCTTTGATGCTGTTTGCATGGTTAACACCAGGTGGAAAGTACAGAATTCAACAGCTACAAACAATGCAAAAATAGAAGGGCATTGTTGCATTTATAGGACTTGCTGCTGAAGTTTGCAGAAGATAAAATTGCACATAAAGAACAAACCCTAAGTCATCCTAAGCGTCTGTATAAAATTGAAAAAAGAAAATAAAAATCTGAATTAAGTAGTGCTAAATGCAATCATGTGGAAACAGAATATTTTATTGCTTCCTCCTGAGTACTGGTTTCAGAATATGTTTCAAAAGACCAGCCTTGCTAACAGCCTACAGAATTCAGCTGAAATAACTTTCCTTCCTTCCGGTTCTGCTCTGCTCTTTTAGAAAACAAGTTGATTTTAGATCTTGGCTTGTGTATCATCGGCTGTGTAAACAAACTATTTACTTTTGCTAATTTTTCTCTCTTGTTTTCTTGAAGGCATCAGCTCCAGTTTAGCCTTTTGATAAAGTCCAGTACCTTATCCAAATGGCCATTTTACTAGAAGGTGAACAATAGGGATAATTTTGATGCTGGCTAATATTGTAAAACATGTGGCATTGATTCAGCCACCCACTATACATCTCTCCAATTCGTCATTTCCACTACAGTAGTACCATTCAGAAATATTGCCACCTGCTGATTTATCTGCCTTTCACTCACCCACCATTGTAACAGTCTTTTCCTACCCATAAGCTATTACTTCCTGCCCACCCTCATGAATGAGCCACCTGTGAACACTGCTTCAAAGCTAGTAACATACCTGTAAGAACAGCCACACAGGGATCAGTGCTGGGGCCACAATTATTCCCTATATGTATTAACAACTTGGATGGGGAAAGTTAATGTACCAAAGCCCAGTTTGTGGATGACATAAAACTAGGTAGGAAGGCAAGTGGTGAGGATAACTGAAACAAAGGGTCTGCAAAGAGATATAGGCAAGCTAAGTGAGAAGTCAAAAACTTGGCAGATGGAATATAATGTGGGGAAATGTGACTTTGGCAGGAAGAATAGAGAAGATAAATATTATTTAAATGGAGAAAGACTGCAGAAAACTATAGAGCAGAGAGATGTGGGAGACATCATCAATAAATCGCAAAAAGCTAGCATCCAAATTCAGCAGGTAATAGGGAAGGCAAATAGAATGTAAGGTTTCATTTTGAAGGGAATACAGTATTAAACTAGGAAGATTTTGCTAAAGTTATACAAGGCCCTAGTCATACCACAGCTGGAATATTATGAACAGTTTTGGGTCCCTTATCTAAGGAAAGATGTACTGGCATTGGAGGCAATCCAAAGAAGGTTCACTAGGTTGATACCAAGTATGGAGGGATTATCTTACGAGGAGAGGATGAGTAAGTTCAGTATGTACACATTGGTATTTAGAAAAATGAGGTGACCTTCTTAAAACATATAAGACCTTAGGGTACATGGCAGAGTAGATGATGGGATGAGGGAAAAGGTTGATTCCCCCTGTTGGAAAATTTAGGACCTAAGGGGATAATCCCAGAATGAGAGGTCATATATTTAAGTCAGAGATCAGGAAGAATGACTTCTCTCAGAACACAGTGAATCCATGAATTCCTTATTGCAGTGCGTTGTCAAGCCTGGGTGGTTAAACATATTCAAGACTGAGATAGACAGATTTTTAATCAATAAGGGAATCAAGGATTACGGAGAAAAGGCATGAAAGTGAAGTTGAGAATTATCAGATGCCATAATCTCATTGAATAGAAGAACAGAATCAATGGGCTGAATGACCAATGTCTCCTTTGATGTTTCATTATCTTATGTTATTCAAAGTAACTTTGGTCTCCGACCAAGCACGTTGGACTGAAGGCACACTACCCAAGATCTGAATAAAGTGTAAATGACCTTACTGATTGACACAGTCACTGGAGAGTGGGAATCCTGCTAATGTTTTATTATCCTTCTATCTTTGGAATGCTGAATCCAGAAATAGTTCCTTTACGTGCACTTTCATTGAGATTAGGTAATTTTCACAAACAGAAGGTAAGAGTTATATCATTTTCACACCTTGAAGAGAATGTGCACATCTCACATTTTTCTTTCTGCAAGATCCTTCTGAAAACTTAATATCTCTCCAAATTAATCATCAATTAACTTGGATTATGATTGACAACTTTTGATAATCTAGCTAAGTAAAAATTTCAATGCTTGATGTCAATATGCCATTACAAACAATAGATGCCTGCAATTATTCTGTTGCATAATATAAATGTACGTTATAATTCTATACCTTTTTAGCTTACAAAACTTGAGAACAATCTATATCCTCTCCATCTATTTGTATCTAAAAAATAGAACCAGAGTTGTTTGTGGAACTGAAGCATTTACTTAACACTGTTTATACGCCTATTCCAATTTTGGGGAATTTTATAACCCCGCAAAACATATACGTGGGCCTTATCAGTAGGTTAACATTTGAGTGACCTGATGCCACAGATTATGGCCCCAGACTTCCCCTCTCAAACATCATTTTTGTCTTTGCCTGCATTCTCCAAATGTCTCTCCCATCTGCAGATAACGGACAGCGCATGCGGAACTGTCTAATCCCCAGGTTGTTAATGAGACGCTTAATTGCTCTCAAGTAAATTTCGAGACTGTTTTGGTTGTATTGCATGTGTTTTCCTGTTACTTAGACAATTGGAGATTTGAAGTATCATGTCTGGTCCAGCCTCTTGCTCTAGAAACTTTGAAACAGTTGATTTATTGGACGGTGTATGTGCTTCATCTAGTGTCACTGAAGGTCAATGTGGATTTGGATGTGATAAATACCTGATACTAGTTTTTTCTCCCATTTGTTGTAGAGACGAAAGAAAAAGCAAACTTATGTAGGAACAGGGCTGGTCTTCATCTGATAAGTATTCTTGACCATTTTAACATATTATTGTTGATATAGACCTTAGTCCTATTTACCCATAATCAAAAGCTAAGATTCAATAATATTGGCTACAAAAGGTTTTTGGGGATGGAGTTAGAGAATAACACAATTCCAAGCACAAAGGTATTTGTGTCACAGTGTTATAGAAACTGGAATGTGTCTTGATGGTGAATGCCCAACCTTACTATCAAGTAAAGTATCAAAAAGAGTCCAATTGCTTTCCGATTGCTGCATATATTAAACACTTGGAGCCGATTCCTTCTTTTGTAACATCATACAAATGGTATGGGGCAGCATAGGTAGACTTTGATAACACATCCACAACCTCTTCCTCAAAGGATAATAGAGAATGAAAATAGAAGTTACTTGTTATAAAAGAAAAGTTAGCAAAATTATACTCACATGGAACAAGATATGACCCATCAGTACCTCTCTTCAGATATATGGTGTAGTTGGTGATAAATCCATGTTGTTCTTCAAGTGGAATTTCTCCCCATTTTAAAAGTACTTGCTGTCCAGCAATTTTCAACACTGAAACATTTGGTCCTGTTGTGGGTTCTTAAAACAGAAATATCAAAATTTCTATGTTGTAAGTATACAGAGATCTCAGATCGAAGTTGAAATAAATAATTCTCTTATACCTGATAGCCCCAGAAGGACAGAGCTGATAGCACTCAATAAGTGGGAATCATCATAGATGAGGGGCAGGAATTGTGTGAACAATCAGAAGAAAGGGGAAAGCAGGAGAGATCATAGATATGGACAGCAAGTTTAAGAGACAGACAATTAATAGGGAGAGAGATAAAGAGAGATCTTTGGTTTGAAGGAGAATTGAGATTGGACAACAACCACAGAAGACTCATTTGACACACCAGGATGAATATTTAAAGTTGTCCTCATACATTAGCAATGCTATAAACTGCAAATAACTTCTGATTGATTGATTTATTGTCATATGTACCAAAATACAGAAAAGCTTTGTTTACAAGTGTAGAGGCAGATCATAAAGCAAAGGATGTGCAGATCATAAAGCAAAGTATGTACAGATCAAAAAGGCTTAGACAGAGGCATACAGGCTATTTTGCATAGGGCATGTGCTAGGTGAGATCAACGTTAGCAAGATTAGCGCTATTTAAGGCTAGAGAGTCCATTCATCATCTGATCACAGCCGGGAAGAAGTGGTTCCTGAACCTGCTCGTGCGTGTGTTCAGGCTTCTCTATCTTCTGCCTGACCGAAGAGGTTGTAGGAGATCATTTCCGGGGTGTGATGGGTCTTTGATGATGTTGGCAGCCTTTCCACTGTAGTGAGCCATGTAAATGGAGCCCATGGATGGAACGTTGGCTTCCATGATGGTCTAGGCTGTGCACACCACATTCTGTAGTTTCTTACAGTCCTGGGCAGAGCAACTGCCATACCAGGCCGTTATGCACCGGACAGTATGCTTTCAAAAGTGCATCTGTAGGAGTTGGTGAGGGACCTTATGGACATGCCAAATTTCCTGAGCCGTCTGAGGAAGAAGAGGTGTTATTGTGCCTTCTTGACTGTCACATCTATGTGGGAAGTCCAGGACAGGTTGTCAGTTATTGTCAATCCGAGGAAATTGATGCTCTTCATCCTCTCAACCTCTGTTCCGTTGATGTAGATGGGATTCTGCTGATTCTAGCTCAACTAAATTTTAGAATTCCTGAGCCATGGGAAACTATAATGATTAATTCAAATTGCATCCAAATGACAGAAACAAAGCTTCATTTGAGTCTTATAGCCATTGACCGACTTTTCCAGAGATTCAGGGTAGTTAAAACAGAAACAACCATGGTGAGTAGGTTGGGGTCAAATTTTGCAGATTTGTTGATTTAATTCTTGTCTGTCTGTTGTTGAGAAGGGTTGTGGTGGTTAAAATTACCCATTCTATAATCCATCATTACTTATACTCAGTATTTTGTAGCTGTTTAATAGATACAGAAATAGGTCATTTAGCTCTTTGGGCCTCTTTCATTGCTGTTCAATAAGATTACGGCTGATGTATGACTGAACTCCATATATTGGGCTTTGCATCATATATTTTGATATTTATCAAAAAATCTATCAATCCCAAATTCAAATTTTATGATTGATCTGGAATAATTTGCCTTTTATGTGAGAGTTCCAAAGTTTTACTGCCCTTTGATTTTAGAAGTGCTCCTAACTTCGCTTCTGACAGTTGGAATCTAATTTTTAGGCTAAGGCCCCAAGTCACAGGTCCTCTAACAGGGCAGGTAAGTTCTTTCTATCTACCCTGTCTCTCACCCTTAATAAAATCTCACCGTAACCACTTAAATTCCAGGAACTACAACCGTAATTTAAATGATATCCTCTTATAATGTAACACTTCGAATCTGGATAATATTCTGGTATATCTATATTGCACAGCCTCCTCAGTCAATACATCTATTCCACGTATGGTGGTCAGAGCTGTTCATAGTCTACAGTTGTGGTATAAACATGGCTTTCTACAGAGGAGGCATGACTTCAACCAGTTTTATTCTGATCGTCCGGATATAAAAGTCAGCATTCCATTTGTAATTTTGATTATTTTCTGCAATTGTTCAGTTGCAGGTGGAGACACACACCACACTACCTCTCCCCACCTCCAACCATGTGTCTTTGGATGTCACCATTTAGGAAGTATACTGTTTTATCATTTTTAAGTCCACAGTGGACCACACCACAATTGCCTGCATTGAAATTCATCTGCGCAATTTTGTCCATTTACTTCAATATATAGAAAATCCTTTGCATTTTTTTTGCTTCCGTTTACAACGTTTACAGTGGTTTCCTTGTGCCATCAACAAATTTTGATCTGTGCCTTCCTATTTCATTCTCCAAATAATTAAAATTACACTGAATAGTTATGTCCACAATATAGATCTTTGTGGGACACCACTAGTCACACGCTGCCAATCAACGTCCACTATCACATCTCTGAAGGTTCCAGTGTAGAAGAGGAATGTGGGTAGTAAATTATAAAAGGAAGTGATCAGTGAATGGTTGATGTGTAATTGATACAATAAGATTATGAGGTCACATATGATGGCATGGTCAAGAAGATGATCATGATATGGGTTAGGAAGTTTACGTGGATGGAGTGACTTAGGAAGTTTAAGAAGATTATGAACTCAGCGCAGAGAGAACATGGTGACTTGACATGGAGGTTAATACTACCTAGGATGAAGTAATTATACACAGAAGCTGAGAAAAGAAAGCACTGAAGCTGATCAAGCACCAAATGCCTCAATTAGTTTTTTGCATGGTGTACATGATAGGTACAGAGGGAAATTGTAGTCAAGTATGAGAAAGCAGGAAGACACCAGTAAGTTCATGCAGCACTGAGGGTAAAGGCAAAAACGATAGTGAACTTGGAGGTCACCGTTAAATGTTCAAATGGTAGAGGTTTGGACTTTGTGACAGGCGAATGAGGTTCTTGTGAAGAACAGATTCTTCTCGAAATCCATGTAATATCCATAAACATTTCTCCATCCACTACTTCAATCACCTCTTCAAAAAAATGTAATCAGGCTTATCAGGTATGACAGTTTTCAAATCCATGGTGTCTCTCTCTTTTTCTAATCAGCTAAAAACTTTCAAGGTGCTCAATCACTCTATCCTTAAATAGGGCGATTGTGATTTTCACAGGTATACAGGGCCCATCCTCTCACTGGTTGGAGGTTCCAGGTCTTGGTGAACACAATTCTGTCACCGTGTCTTTAGTGAGTTGAAGCCTCAACTTATCCCAACCCAGACCTTTGCACTTCGAAAATCCTCACACACTAGGGCAATCTAAACAGAATCCTTCCTCTCCTACCTCCTAGCAGAACTTTGCTTTTGCTCTCTCCTCTGCCTGTCCTACTCAATCTGCAGAACAAATAGCATTGCAACTATTGCCCCCACACTTATCAAATGTCTCTAATTCACTCAAATTTTCTGTGGTCAGTAGAAATCTTTGCACTCCTTTTGTAACTCTCCACAATGTTTCCATCAACTTGGTCTGAGCACATGTAAGTCAAAAGCAGTTCAGCTGCTAATTGCTGAGTTTCCTTTAAATAGGTCCAGAAAAAAATGCCCATGTTTTTGCTCATTTTTGTTGCTTCAGGAGTTGATGAGGGAAGAATTCCCTGCACATTCAGTCGTCAGTTTTATTATTTATCAGCATCATGATCTCACCCTTTCAACCAATTTGGGCTTATGTCTCTTTAGTTGCCTGACCCAATGTGACCCATACAAGATCTACCCACTAGCATCGTTAGTGCTACAAACTTGAGGGTATGCTGATGCTACACAATTGAATTTTGCATCTTCATCAATCCTAAAAAGCAGAGTAATTTGCATAATTATGAAACCTAAAGGATTCCCCAAATTGAAAAAACTTTGGAAGATTATAATTAGAATATCAAGAATATTTGCCCCTACTTCTGTTGGGTAAGGACATGGAAAAACCTTAAACATTCTGCAAAATGGGAAAGGTGATGTCTTGCAAAGATTGAAAGAAAATGAATTAACCTGCAGTAAAACAAACTATTGTTTGTAAAAAAAAAAAATTTGACTCAAGAACTCATGCAAGTTGAACTTTAAAACCTGATGGTCATATTTGATTGGTTTCGTTACAGGCTACTTCTATAGACTATTGCAAATGCTATATGAGACTAAAACAGAAATTGCTGCTTCAGATCTGAAGAAGGGTCACTGGATTTGAAATGTTAGCTCTGTTTTCTCTCCACAGATGCTGCCAGACCTGCTGAGTTTCACCAGAACTTAATGTTTTTGTTTTAGATTCTTAACATTTGCACTTCTTTATTTTGTGTCAAAGCAGTGTTTAATTGCAGAATTTGACAAGGTAAAACTGTTACCCATACAATCTGTGATAAGTTCATTGTTAAAATGTTTACAAAGTTAAAACGTGTTGTATTTTGAAAGTTATGGAAAATCTTACTTCAGTAGTTTTTTTTTGTTTTGAGGAGGGATGGTGTGTTAGCCCTTTTGGCCTGGAAAAAAACTTGTATTTTCTTTTCATGTGATGTCTCTTTAATTCCAAAATGAAACCTGGTGGTATTCTGCAAAGAGTGTAACTGGATTACCCAGCAGGCATTTTAATTCCAGGCAACGGCCATGGGTCCCAATCTTAGCGGGAGTGGGGGTGTTAAAATCTAAAAAAGCAAAGGATAAATTGGAAGCTAATTGGATATTATATTATAGCTGGCCTGAGTCAATACAGTTCAGAACAGAGGCTGGTGAAGAAGCAGGAAGATAAATCTAAGGATAAAGCAGAGACTTATTGTCCCCTCTACATCGGGGAGACCAAGCAGCGGCTTGAAGACCCCTTTGTGCAGCACCTACACCCTTCAACTCCCTCTCCCACTCCCAGGACGACATGTCCATCCTGAGCCTCCTCCAGTGCCACAATGATGCTACCCGAAAACTGGAGGAACAGCACCTTATATTTCGCCTTGGTACCCTACAACCCAATGGTCTCAATGTGGACTTTACGAGCTTCAAAATCTCCCCACCCCTGACCTCATCCCAAGACCAGCCCCCCTCTTGTCCTCACCTCTGTGACCTATCCATCTTCTCTCCCACCTATCTGCTCCTCTCACCTCACTGACCAACCCCCACTTCTTACCTACACTCACCTACTAGCTTCATCCCCACCTCCTTGACCTATCCATCTTCTCTCCACCTACCTGCTCCACTATTCACCTTCTATCACCACCTCCCCCTCTCTCTACTTATTTCAGAGCCCCCTTCCCCTCCCCCATTTCTGAAGAAGGGTCCAGACGCAAAACGTCAGCTTTCCTGCTCCTCTCATGCTGCCTGGCCTGCTGTGTTCATCCAGCTCCACACCTTGTTATTCTCAGACTCCAGCATTGGCAGTTCCAACTATCTCTGACTTACTGTCTAAAATAGTTTAAAAAGACAGAATACGAAAAGCAGGAGGGCAGGGATTGTTGATTGGAAAGATCACTGCTGCTATATCAATTTTGCCACAGTCAACCAGAATATTTAACAGAGTTGAGAAAGGAATCACTGGAATTTTGTGGCTTCAAGGCTGATGTGAACCTAGCTGAGGAGATTCTGCAGAGATGCCATACCCAGGAACCTCAGATTGCATATGGCAACCAGTGAAAATGATTCAAGAGCCAAATCCATTGAATGGAACACAAGAGATTCTATGAACAAGAGACTGAGTTGGTAAAACTGTGAACATATGAACATCAGAATTAGGAACAGAAGTAAGTTATTCAGCCTTTCAAGCCTGCTCTGTTATTCAATATGATTGTGGCTGATTTCTTTGTGTTCTGAATTCCACATTCCCATATATACTTGCTAACATTTAAATTTCTTACCTATCAATAACCTATCTTAAAAATATTCCATAACTCCACCTCCATCACCTTCTGAGGTAAATGTTTCTAAATTTGCACAACCCTCTAACAGAAAAATCTCTTTGTTTGTGTATAAAAAAGGTGACCCCTAATTTTAAAATGGTGTTCCCTAGTTCTGGATTCACCCAAAAGAGAAAACCCCCTTTCCATGTTCACCTAAAATCCAAAGAAAGCAAGTCCCCTCTGTCCAATCTCTTATCGTAAGACAAACTGCTCATTTCAGGCATTAATCTACTAAACTTCCTCTGAACTGCCTTCACATCCTTCCTTAAATAAGGACAAATAGTGTTCAAGATGTGGTCTCACAGATGCTGAAATAACTGAAGTATAGCAATCTTTCTCTTCTCACCTTAAAATTATGCCCCCTAGGTTTGAACTCTCCCACCCCAGGAAAAGACCCTTGCTATTCAGGCTATCCATGCCCCTCATGATCTTATAAAACTCTATAAGGTCGCCCCCTTAACCTCCTACATTTCAGTGAAACAGGTCACAGCTTATCCAGCCTTTCCCTAGAACTTAAACCCTCCAGTCCCAGTAACATACCTGTTAATCTTTTCTGTGACGTCTCCAATTTAATAATATCCTTTCTACAGGAGCGAGACCATAACTGTACACACTACTCCAAAAGTGATCTAACCAATGTTCTGTACTACCACAACATAATGTCCCAACTCCTCTACTCAAAGCTCTGAATGAAGGCAAACGTGCCAAACTCCTTCTTTACCACTGTATCTACCTGTGATACAAATTTCAATGACCTTTGTAGCTGAACCCCTAGTGCTCTCTATTTCCCCAACATTCCCCAGGATCCTACCATTAACTGTGTAAGTCCTGCTCTTGCTTGTCTTACCAAAATGCAACACCTCCCATTTATCTAAATTAAACTCCATTCATCCCTCCTCAGCCCATTGGCCCAATTAATCAAGATCCCTTTATAATCTCAGATAACCTTCCTCACTGTCTATTATATCACCAATTTTGGCATCATCCACAAACGTATTAACCATGCTTCCTATTTTCCGATTCAAACCATTTATATAAACGACAAACAACAGTGGACCCAGCACTGATTCCTGAGGAACACCACTGGTCACAGGCCTCCAATCTGGAAAAAAAAACCTCTACCCGTACCCTCTGTCTCCTACCGTCAAGTTAATTTTGTATCCAACTAGCAAGCGCTCCCTGAATCCCATGTGATCTAACTTTACTAACCAGTCTACCATGCAGAATCTTGTCAAAGGCCTTACTAAAGTCCATGTAGACAATGTCTACTGCTCTGCCCTTGTCAATCTTTTTGGTCACATCCACAAAAAATTCAATCAAATTTGTGAGACAAAGCCATGCTGACTATCCCTAATCAGTCCTTGCCTCTCCAAATGCACATAAATCCTGTCTCTCAGAATCCCCTCCAACAAATTACTCACCACTGATGTCAGACTCACTGATCTATAGTTCCCAGGCTTCTCCTTGCAGCCTTTCTTAAATAAAAGCACAACATTAAGCACCAGTCTTCTGGCACCTCACCTATGGCTATAGGTGATACAAATATTTCTGCTAGGGACCCTGATATTTCTCCCCTAGCTTCCCACAATGTCCTCGGATAAACTTGATCAGGTCCTGAAGATTTATCTTGTGCTGATATAGCTGATTTCATCACTATCTGGGCACCTGGGGTACAACAGAGAGCTTAAGTAATCATGAACTTGGAAAGGAAAGAAGAACTATGGGGATTACTGATGCTGATCACTTTTCAGTGACTTTAGCAGGAAAGTGAAGGTGTGGGGGCCATTGTTTCACACTAAGATCAGGCTCACTGTTACATTAACTGATATTCAAACATACACAATTACCTCTTAGACAAGGTAATGGAGTCTGACCAATGTTCGTAGAACATCTTCAATCACCATTTTCAGTAAAGGAAAGAGAAGATATTTGAAAGAATGATGGAGCAGGATTTGATTGAAGGATCAGATTACTTACTTCCTTCTATAGAATATCCTTGAGCTGAACAAGACAGCCCTCTTCCCTTCTGGTACATTGCAGTGACAGAAATATTGTAACGTTTTCTTGGTTTAATGCTTCCTAAATGAGATGATAGAAATCTTTTATCAAATTAAGAAGTATTATGACAAGCATAAAAAATAAGAAAGCATAAATAACCCTTATTTACAAATCCATTCCAACAACAAAGTACGTACAATCTATCCATCCAGGATCTCCACTCCATTTGGTTAATGCACCACAAAATCTTTCTTTAACCCTCAACATTGAACAATTCACATTTATACCTTTATTCAAAATTTATTCAAAATTTGTCTATGCATTTGAGACTTCAATAGCACATTACCAAATTGTCTTCCATTGAAAATTTCATTTTTTTGCCCATTTTAATTTCTATAATACACATACTTATTCAGATACACTTCGATGGAATTAATTAAAATTTTATTCACCACTTTCATACTGTAGTGGGAAACAGAACTTGATGAATTCGTTTTGTAATGTAGGATACTGAAGCAGATAGCTGTGGTCTGTACAGTTTGAAGATTTCACTCTGTGATGGAGCAAACAATTACAATCATGATTTATTGCACACTTACTTCCTTCTGCTAGATATTCCTGCAGTGAAGAAGATTGTCCTAGAAACAAGGAGTGATTGTCCTTTGGAAGCCTTTTCCAATTAAGTAGCTGCTTGTTGTTGTCAGCTGCTTCCCTCCAGTCAACTACATAGCCCAGCACAGGCTCACTGACTTCATGTGGTGGTTCCCATTTGACATAAATTCCAGAGTCTCCAGCTGGTATCACCCTAAGGTTTCTAGGAGCCATCATATCTGAATGGTGATAGAAAAGTATAACAAATTTCAAAATGGAACTAGGCAATGTCCAAAATTCTGTCAGCCAATGATCTTGGAATAGAGTTCAGAATATCCTTAAGAAGAATTATTTCATTGTTGGCTTGCTCTATCCTGGGGAGGGTAATCAAGCACTAACTGAATATTCTCAGGCCACATTAAACACAGGCAGAGAAAAGTTCCTTCTGTTCTGACAACATACTATTTGTTTTAATGTGAGGAGTATGACAGGTAAGGCAAATGAACTTAGAGCTTGGATTAATATGTGTAATGATGATGTTGTTACTAATACAAAGACTTGGTTGAGAGAGGGACAAGACTGGCAGCTTATTGTTCCAGGATTTAGATGTTTCAGGCAAGATAGGGAGGGATGTAAAAGAGGTCGGGGTGTTGCGTTACTGATTAGGGAGATTATCACAGCTGTACTGAAGGAGGACATCTTGAAGAGCTCATCCAGCTAAGCCATATGGGTGGAGCTCAGGAACAGGAAGGATGTAGTTTTATGGTATTGTACTGCAGGTCTCCCAACAGCCAGCCGGTGATAGAGGAACAGATATGTGGACAGATTACGGAAAAATATGAAAAAAAAAGGAACAAAATCAGAAGTTGCTGGAAAAGCTCAGGAGGTCTGGCAGCACCTGCGAAGAAAAAATCAGAGTTAACATTTCGGGTCTGGTGACCCTTCCTCAGAATGTTTTAAAAAGTATTAAGATAGACAAATCCCCAGGGCCTGATGGAATCCATCCCAGAATGCTAAGGAGGCAGGTGAGGAAATTGCTAGGGCCTAGTAATGGAGAGATCCCGGAGGACTGGAGAATAGCCAACATGTTCCCTCATTTAGGAAGGGCAGCAGGGATAATTGGGGAAATTACACCTTATATCATGGTAGGGAAATTATTAAAGAACATTCTTAAGTATAGGATTTACTCACATTTGGAAAAATATGGACTTATTAGTGACAGGCAGCATGTATTTTTGCAGGGAAGGTCATGTCTCACAAACTTTATTCAGTTTTTTTTCGGGAAGTGACAAAGATGATTGATGAAGGCAGGGCGGTAGATGTTATTTATATGGACTTTTGCAAGACCTTTGGCAAGGTCCCTCATGGCAGGCTGATACAAAAAAAATGCAGTCACCTGGTAAGATGGAAAAAAAACTGGCTTAGTTATAGAAGACAGTGGTGGAAGGGTGTCTTTCTGGTTGGAGAACTATGACTGCAACGATCAGTGCTAGGATCCCTGTTGAAATGATTTGGAGGAGAATGTAAGTGGCCTGATTAGTAAGTTTGCTGATGACACAAAGATTAGGAGAGCTGTGGCTAGTGAGGAGGATTGCCAGAAGATACAGCAGGACATAGATAGGAGACTTGGGCAAAGAAATGGCAGATGGAGTTTAATTGGACAATTGCAAGATGATGCATTTTGGAAGATCTAATGCAGAAGGGAAATATACAGTAAATGGCAGAACCATTGGTAGCATCAACATACAGAGGATCAATGCATACAGGTCCATGGTTCCCTGAAAGTGGCAACACAAGAAGATAAGGTGGCCAAGAAGGTATATATTATACTTGCCTTCATCGGTTGAGGTGTAGAGTACAAAAATTGTCAAGTCATGATGCAGGTGTATAGAACTTTAGTTTGGCCACATTTAGAATATTGTGTACAGTTCTTGTTGCCACACTACCAGAAGGAGGCTTTGGAGAGGGTATAGAAACAGTTTACTAGGATATTGGCTGGTTTGGAGGGTGTTAGCTACGAGGAGAGATTGGACAAACTTAGTTTGTTTTCACTTGAATGTCAAAGGATGAGGGGTGACCTGATAGAAATTCACAAAATTATGAGGCACAGATAGAATGATAGTTGGAGTCTTTTTCCCAGGGTAGAAATGTCAATTACTATGGGGCATAGGTTTAAGGCAAAAGGGCAACTTTTAAGGGAACCTTTTACACAGAGAGTGGTACTGCCTGGAATGTGCTGTCAGAGGAGGTGGTGGAGGCAGATTTGCAACGTTTAAGAAGTATCTTGATAGATATATGAATAAACAGGGAATAGAGGGATATGGACCACGTGGAGGCAAGAAGTTTTTGTTCAGAAAGTCATCATATATCACTGCAGTCCTGGTGGGCCTAAGGGCCTGCTCCTGTGCTGTACTGTTCTTTATTCTTTATCTTACACCTGACCCCAAAGGATCAGCATGACAAGTTAGTTGCAGTTAGTTTACAGTCTCTCTGCTGGTTTTCACAGTGCACTCCCACACAATTAGTACTTGCGTTATTTGTTTTTAATCTGTTCAAAAAGGTAAGAATGCAGTTTGGTTATCATTGATCTACAGAACTATGTCAAAATGAATGATGGGGCTGAAATTTCCTGCAGTTGAAGCAGGTGTGAAGGTGTGAAGGTGTGAAGCACCTACTACTTTGCTGCACTCTCAGACTGACTGTTTATCAAACTTGTGGGACAGTAAGGAACATTGGCCATTTCTAGATTTTTATTTCTGAACCTGGCACTCGGGGAGTGAGTGAGGTGCTTGATTTTATTTGATGGCTTGTGCTACTGTTTGCTGGTATATATTACAGAATGTCCAACTGAGAGTCTTGCCCTTTGTTTCCATTCCCCCTGATATGCAATGGCACAGTCTCCAGTAGCCAGTTTTCAGTTTAAAGTGGGCCATGCTGAGAACTGGTTGCAAGTAACATTTATGTCTGGCCCCATCCTGTCACAGGAAGTATCGGTCCTTGTCTTCTTGTTTACTTCTAACAAGCTAAAAATGTTTTGAATGCTTTTCATAAAGACTCAAAAATTGAAAGATTTCCTGTAATTAATAGGAATTACTTGACTCTCCTATGTGGAGCATTGCAGGTGTAGAATCTCCCTTGGAGTTAAACGCTGTAACAAAGATGTTGTCTGGTGTCCAAGGAGTTTGCCAGCTGTACTGAGTCTCTGATACATTACACACTCGGATGGTCATTTCAGGTCCATTTTGTTGATAAAATATGCGATAACCAAGAATAATGCCCCTAGTTTCCTGAGGGTGAAGAGGCTAGAAATGGAAAACAGTCAATCACACAGTAGAATAATATCAGCATTTTAGCTTTTTTAACCAAGGAATGCCTTTCTATACCACCTATGATGCCTCAAGAATTTTCTACTGAATAGAACTACTACATAGTTTGATGGATTAACTCAGTGAAGCAACCGATTTGCTCCCAATTTCAAGTCTTGAAAGAAGCTGGAAAATTCATTTATTGTTGTTGATAATTCACTAAATTCAGAAATGGTATCTTAATCTCAGCACTTGAAAGATTGTATTGAATGCTTGTGTGAGGGGAGAGATGCTTTAAGAACAGATGCAACTTTTAAAAATATATCAGTCCTCAATGGGATGGATTTTTGTGTGACCATTTCATTGGATTAAAGATAAGTGGAGCAATTTCAATGGAGATTAAAAAAATTGCAAGCTGCTGGTATCCGAGGTAGACAAACACGAGGCTGGAAGAACATAGCAAGCCAGGTAGCATCTGGAGGAAAGGAGAAGTCAACATTTTGGGTATTACCATTCTTCAGGACTGGACTTGGGGGTACAGGGAGCTGCAGATAAAGAGAGATGGGGACGGTAGCAGAATGGTGGTGATAAGTGGACACTGCTAGTAGGCACGACTTGGTTGGTTTTTGGGATCATTGAGTCCGGTTGGTAGCTGGAAGGGAGGATTGGTACGTGGAATAGAAGGGAGGAGGTGGGGCTGGAAAGGAAGCCAGGGGATGAGTGGGAATGTCATCCAGACAGCCCTCCACCGCGCCTCTTCCATTCCTCACTCCACAGCTCTAAACTGCAACCCCCAAACATAATAAAGATAGGGTCTTTCTTGTCCTCACTTTCCACCCCACCAGCCTTCACATCCACGTATCATCTTCAAACACTTCCACTAACTGCAATTAGACACCAGCACCCAGAACATCTTCCACACCCCACCCTTGTCTGCCTTCCGCAAGGACCATTCCCTTTGCCACTCCTTAGTTCATGCCACACTCCCCACCAACCAATTCAACTCCCCCCAACCCTATCCATACCTTCCCCTATAACTGTAAAAGATGCAACACCTGCCTGCACACCACCTCCCTTACCTCCATTTACAGCCCTAAACAGTCATTCCAGGTGAGAAACAGTTTCACCTGCATCTCCTCCAACTTAGCCTACTGTATCTGATGCTCCCGCTGTGGTCGACTCTACATCGGTGAGACTAAACATAGACTAGGTGACCATTTCACCAAGCATTGCTTCCTGGCCCAAAACGGCCAGCCTAACCTCCCGGTCACCACCCATTTCAACTCCCCCCCACCAACCATTCTCCTTCAGACATGTCCATCCTCAGCCTCCTCCAGTGTTGCAGTGAATCAGATCACAAATTTGAGGAACAACAATTTATCTTCCCCTACAGCCCGGAGGACTTAGCATTGAGATCTCTAATCTCTAACTTCCCATCCATCCCCCATCTCCCTTTCCAGACCCACCTCCTCCCTTCCAATCCATCTACCAACCCTCCCTTCCAGCTACCAATCGGATTCATCTCTCCCAATGACCAACCGGGTCGTACCTACTACCAGTGTCAACTTATCACCACTATTCCGCTGCCCTCCCCCTCTCTCTTTATCTACAGCTCCCCCCACCCCCACATCCAGTCCTGAAGAAGGGTAATACCTGAAACGTTGACTACTCCTTTTCTCCAGAGGCTGTCTGGCTTGCTGTGTTCTTCCAGCCTCCTGTTTGTCTACCAATGTCAACTGAATTGGCCCAAGGCCAAGTCAGCTTTCATACTTGAGTTTCACTGTCGTTCAACCTGCCATCAGCAAGAAGATATAAACCATAGTAGTTGCGTACTTGAACTCCTTTCATTCAATTAAATTAAAGACTGGTGGGTCATAATCCTGAGAGAGGTCAGTGTAGGATTAAGCTTTACAAGCATCCTTGTAAGGTTCATTTGAATGCTTAACCTGATTTGATGAAAATCTTTTACAAAGCTGTATTTTCACTTTTTCTGAGCATCCTGTAAACCCTGAAAGACCACTCAGTACGCCACTCAATGGCAACTATCAATGGGTAAAATCCTGTATCCATTATCCACGAAATTCTGCAGGGTTTTAGTGATCAGCACAATGGTTTTGGTTATGTAGGTGTAGTGATTGGAACCAGGTGGATCTTGCTGACTATGAGATCCTTGATCGGGGTTGTTAGCCTGGGCCAATCAGGAAGCCCTGGCTAACCAATATAAAGAGGGGATTTAGAATCACCTCAGTTCAGGAGATTGATTCCGAGCTGGCTGGTCACGGCCAGTGTACTATGCACAAGTAAATAACGGGTGACTTTGAGAGAGATAGCGGCCTCTGTGCAGTTATTTCAATGGTGACAGGAGAAAACAGTATGTGCCCAAAGAACCTTTGCTCGCAACAGTCATCTTAGAGTTGGGGTAAGCATTTCTAGCATCATGCCTTTATTTAGGAAGCTTGACTCGTTCAATCCAGCTGTCGAAGACTGGGCCCAGTATGTGGAAAAAATGTGATTTTTTTTTCCGGCAAATGACATTGGGACAGATAAAAAGCAATGAGTAATCCTTTTGACTGCTTGCAGACCCGCAGCATTTCGGTTAAAAGGGGTTTAACTTTCCCAGAGGCACCAGACACGAAAACCTTCCAAGAGTTGACGGAGTTGGTTAAGGAATATTACAACCCCACACCACCTCCAATTCTGAACCGCTATCGATTTTATTTATTAGAGAACCAAGGGATGACGCTTGAGGAGCTATGAGCATTATTCGCGACACATGGACTCCTGGAAGTATTGGTCACGGATAATGAGATGTCATTTACCAGCAAAGAATTTCCTAAGGCTGAATGGCATTCGGCGCATAAGGACAGCTCCACACCATCCATCGTCCAATGGACTAGCAGACGGAGCAGTGCAAACATTGAAGACAGTCGTAAAGAAGCAGCCTACAGCGTCTCTTGATGCCAAGCTGTCTCGGTTCCTGTTCGATTATACGACCACACCTCATGCAACAACAGGGATAGCTCCAGCAGAGTTGCAGATGGGGAGAAGACTCTGGACCATGTTAAAGTTGAATTTTCCAGACCTGGGCGGGGAGGGTGAAACAGCAGCAGGAATGTCAATGCTGGCCACATACATCCACTAAGTGAGAGAGACACTTTAATTCAAAGGATGAAGTTTGGTGCTGGAACCATAAGAATGGACCTGTATGAGTATGAGGTGAGGTTGATGTGAGGTCAGGTCCCGTAGCTTACAATGTTCAGTTAGGTGAAACAGTCCTGAACAAACACTTGGATCACCTGAAAGCTGTTACCTTGCAAACAGGGCAGGAGCAAAACATATCTAGGCCCTCAGAACAACCAGAAGGCTTGTTGGAAACTGTAGGTTCTCCCCCACTGCCTTGTGTTGAGGAAACCTCAGAATCTGAGATGGATGCAGCCTCGATACTGTTACTGCTGGAAGAGCAGGAAACCCTCCCAAGATGCTCCAGACACAAGAGATGGGCTACAGTCTGGTACACGCCACCTGTGTCAGGGTCCAGACAGAGGAACCGGGCCTGGGACGAAAACGTCACAGGAAAAGCTACAAGAGGAAGACCAGGCCTACATCCCCGGACTTGGGTGGTGGGGTGGGGGTGGCTGTGGGGGATGGGGATGTAATGACTGGAACCAGCTGGATCTTGCTAATTACGAGATCCTTGTTTGGGGTTGTTAACCTGGGCCAATCAGGAAGCCCCAGCTGACCAATATAAACAGGGGATTTTGAATCTCCTCAGTTAGGGGTCTGATTCCGAGTTGGCTGGCCAAGGCCAGTGTACTGTGCACAAGTAAATAAAGGGGGACTTGGTGATGAGATACCAGCCTCTGTGCAGTTATTTCAGTATATTGTGAATGAGATAAGTGCTACTATTTTGAGAGTGAAAATATTGGCATCTGTTATTAGTTTTGTACATCACTAAGGTCTCTGCATCTGAACTGGCATAGGGAGAAGGGGGTAACATTTCAATATAGACATTGAGAGTCAGTAATTGCATCAGGGATCTATCTGCATATTTAATGCACCTCCTGCATCTTTCTAGAAGATTCTTGCGTTGCTCAATTTCAAGACCAAGCCAAAATGGCACAGATCCAAATATAGTTGGAAAGGAGGTGAAGAGTCCTTCACTGCACTACACTGCTCCTCCATGGCAGACTAGGAAATATAAGATTGGTTCGTGTGTACACCATGCCACATACTAATTTCTACCCTCAATTCTGTACCAATTTGATTTTGAACTTAGCAAAATAAGGCAGGTCTACCACCATCAGGAGAAGAAATGAGAATGGGAGCCAGGAGATGAAAACTGAAAACTGAAACAGAAATGGAATCGTATACATGTAATCATATAGCCTGTCAAGAGGGGGAGCTATTGGAAAACGAGTCTCCCTAAGTTGTTTATTAAGAGTCATTGAGTTCATAATTAAACCTATTCCACAGTAAGTCACAATCATACAGTGAACCAGGAGGTCCAGGTTCAAGTACCACTGTCTCCAGAGGTGCGTCACAACACCTCTGAAGAGATTGATTCGAAAAAATCTGCAGTGAATCCTTAGAGTTAATGTGCCCCTCTCTCAGCCAGGAGACCTGGGTTTAAATCCCAGCTGCTGCAGAGGTGTGTAATATTATCTATGAATAGGTTGATAAGAAACTTATTCTTTGACATTGTCTATATTGAAATGTTACCCCCCTTCTCCCCATGCCAATTCAGATGTAGAGAGCTACTGGTACAAAACTAATAACAGATGCCAATATTTTCACTCTTAATTTAATAGCACTTATTTCATTTATAGCAAACATAACCAAACCATTGTGATGCTCGCTAAAAAACTGCAGAATTTGGTCCAGAGGTTTTTTGGGTCTGAATTTACTTGGGATTTTAATCACAAAATGTTAACAGAACTGTATTACAGTTTGTGAAAGGAATTTCTTTTCTAAATTTGCTTTTTGGACGGTGAATGTTA